ATGAATAGAAGTGTCTTTGTTACTCATGGGGGTCCATGGACCACCCTGAGTTTATCACCAAGGAGATGACTCAGAAAGGGGCAGCTCATGCCAGAGAGACCAAGTGTGTAGAGGGCCTCCTCCAGGGAGGAGAGGGAGCTGGAGGTTGAGATCAGTCACAGGTTAGTGATTCAGCCAATCCCACCTACGTAGTGAGATCCCAGGAAGAACTCTGGATTCTGAAGCTCAGTGGAGCTTCCTGGTTGGCGAACACAGGGGTGTACAGGGGAAGTGACGTGTCCTGACTCTGGGAGGAGGGGACCTGGGAGCTCTGCATTCACTCAGAGTGTCTCCTCATTTGGTTAGTTGGTCCTGACTTGTATCCTTTATAATAAATCTATAAATGGATGCTTTCCAGAGTTTTATAAATCAGTGTAGGTAATTATAAAGCTGGAAAAAGTTGTGGGAACCCCTGAATTAGCAGCCAGTTGGTAAGAAGTGCAGGTGAACTTGGGAATCCCCAAACTTCAGCTGGCATATGAAGTGAGGACAGTTTTCTGGGGACTGTGCCCTTAATCTGTGGCATGTGTGTCAAGTAACCAGTGTCAGAATTTCACTGGGCTATGGAAACCATGGTATACACCATCCACTGTAGGTATTTACCCAAGAGAGAAGAAAATGTATGTTTTTCCACCAGGTGAAAGACTTGTATAAGGAGGCTCATAGCAGCTTTATTTTTAATAATCCCAAACTGGAAACAACCCAAGTGCCCATCAGTAGGGGAATAGATAAATTGCGGTGTAGTCAATCAATAGGATAGTATTCATTAATAAAAAGGATGAATTAATGAAACATGAAAACATGGGTGATTCTCAATTGTGCTGAATGAAAAAGATACACACAAAAGACTGTAGAAGGTACATATATTCTGTACACTTTCATTTATGTAAAACTTTAGAAAACACAACATAATCAGAACAGATCAGGGTTTGCCTGGGGAGTGGGTGGGAGGGAAGGATTACAATTGTGCTTGGGGAAACTTGGGGGGAGCACTATTTTTACTGTGGTGATTCTCTCTCTCTCTGTGTCTGTCTGTCTGTCTCTCTCTCTCTCTCTCTCACACACACACACACACACACACACACACACACGAACTTGTCAAACTACCTCTTAAATATATGCAGTTGCTCTTATGTCAATTGTACCTTGATGGAGCAGTTATAAAGAACACCATGACAGGTCCCATGACAGGGCTGGGATATTCCCTCTAATATCTTGCCAGTAGGTCAGACTTAGTGCAATCAAGTTGCAACTCCTTTTCTGACCTACCTCCCATTTATTCTTGCTCCTAAAACATCCTTTGCTGGTTATGACCCTACCATTTATCCAGAGCCTAGAAAACTGAGTCATTGAATTTCTCTCTTCTTCAACCCACAGCCCATTGGAAATTAAGTTCTAGCCATTCTCTTTCCTCAATATCTCTTATCCAATCTCTTCTCTCCAGCCTAGATTATCATCACCTCAAATATAAACTCTTATAATATTTCTGAATTTGTCAGCTTTTTGTTGCTAGAATTAAATACCCAAAGCAGACTACTTGTGAAGAAAAGAGGGTTATGTGGCTCACAATTTTAGAGGTTATGGTGCTGGCATCTGCTCAGAGGGCTCTCTTGGCTGTGTCACATCATGAGAGATTGCAATAGTGGGAACAGGAGATTACATTTTGATACAAGAAGCCAGAGAGACTGGAGTCCCATAATCCCTTTTGAGGGCACAACCCCAATTGACCTAAGAACCTCTCACTAGGTCTCACTCCTTAAAGATCCATCTACCCACACTGTGTGGAGGACTAGGCCTCTAACACCTGGGTCTTGGGGACCTTCGAACCATAGCAGCTGCCTAACTCATTTACTGGTTTCCAGTCATGTGGCTCTGTCCCCATTCCCACTCTTTGCTTTAATTTTTTTTTCCCTTCTTTAAACTCTAACTCTACCAAGGGGAGATTTCCAGAACCTGTGTATGGTCTCTAAGGCTCCTTAATAATGCTTTTTCTTCCAGATAAAATATAAAAATGAAAGTGTTGTTCTGCTCTCCTTGTCTAGATAATCTTAACCTTAAACATTGCTTCTTCATAGAGATAGTCCCCAACCCCAGGCTAGGTGTGCCTCCTAGGAGCACCCTGAGCCCCTTGGCAGTAGTAGTTGGTACTGTCATAAATGCAAAATTATCCTTCACTTACGGTCTGTCTTCCCAGCTGCACATGTTCTTCTTCATAAAAGAAGGAACCATGTCTTTTGGTTAATGAGCATCCCCTCGTTCAGGGGTCCCATACAGCTCACCAATTGTAATGAGTTTTCAAGACTCCTCGGACCAATGTGAACTTATTAGGCAAATGACAGCTGCCCTGAAGCATGGCCCTGTGCTTGGGGAGAGGGGGAGATCCTGTAGGGCGGGAGGGGTTCCAACCCTTCGTGCAGTAAGAGTGAACTTAATGCTAGGAAGGACAGCCAGACATTCTGCCACAAATGTGGGATGTGGAGACTAGAGCCGTTCATTTGATCCAGATTATTCACTCACAGAATGAAGAGACTAGTCACAAGGACAGCTGGAAAGGCCTCGGGGCTAGAACTTGGAGGGTGTTAAATATCCAATTAGTTGGTGACCAAGGGGAGCCATTGAAGATTTCTGAACAGGTGAACAACTAAATCAGCTATGCCAAAGCTGCCTCCTCCTCCCCATCCTCCTCCCCTGGGCCTCCTCCTCCTCTCCTCCCTCCACCTTCCTCTTCCCCTTCCTCCTCCTCTCCCTCCTCCTCCATCTCTATTGGTGACAAGGATCATGATAGCTGCAAGCAGATACTGATTAAAAGGGGAGAGAGACCAGAGGTGGACGTCCATAACGTGCTAGCCTTTAAAGGAAAGGAGGGCGGTGGTGGAAATAGACCTTGCAGGCCGTGGCGTTGGATTCCTCAGGAGGATGAAGGAGAGGGAAGATGCGAGGATGAATCAGCACTTTGAACCGTGGTTTACCCAGAGTCTTTTTATTAAGCCTTACCAAAAAGGAGCTTTGGTGGAGAGTCTGGACTGAGTCAGAAAGGGGAGAGGGGATGAATTTGGAATGGATTTGACCTTTATAGCCAGATGAATGCAGTTCCTGGGATTCTTTGATCAAGAAATTCCGGGCCTGTTCATGCTGGGCTCAGCCCTCTGGGAGCCTCTGCCAGTCAAGAGGATGGGAGATCCGTCTTCCCGGAGAGATTTTTTTCCCTCTAATAAATAACAATGCTAAATTGCAAGTGTGTGGGGGAGTATCAGGACATCACTCCTCAATCCTGCTATTGTGTTCACGAGCTAGGTAATTAGTGTCTGATAGTTTTAAACAGATGGGTCTCTCTGGCAGCAAGGATTACGGCTTGAAATCAATCCTGAACAAATATTATATTAATTTCTCAACTCCCTCTCTCTGCGGACGAAATTCGTTCTTTTCCTCTGAACACTGTAATGACGAGAACATTAATATTAGATCATTTAGAGATGAAACGGAAGTGGTAGAGGAGAAAGAAGGGATGGGGCTTAACAGGAGCTGCTGGGCAGGAGGCAGATGCTAAAAGTTTCATGTGGCGGTGGGAAAGGAAATTCAGATAGCACACAGGGAGCTGTTTAGGGTCCCAGCAACCCCCCAATATTCAGCTTCAGCTCCATCGTGGCAGCTGCTTTGGCTACAGGAAGGGCTGTGTCAGGCAGGTTGGGTAGTCAGTCTCTGATGTTTATTTCCTCTCAGAGAGGAGACCAGTTGCACATAAATAGGTCTGCAGGGGGCCTGGCTAGACTTCTGACTTTCCAATCAAACCTGGCAATCTACAATTCAAAAACAACGGGCTACCTGGAGTGAGCCTGCAGCCTCCCCTCCACCATCACCACCTGGGAGGCTCGCTCCTTTCCACTGGACTATTAACAGGGAACATCCTCCAGTCCCAAGCCTCACCCCTACTTAAGGGTGCACTATGACTCACGGCTCTGTTCCCTGCACTGGGTGAGAACTGTGCCTGGAAATGTTGAAATGCACACACAGGCAGCTCTCCATCATAAATGCTAATGTAATTTCCAACCATTCCTCTTTTGCTTTATAGGGTTTTTCCCTTTCTTCTATCAAGCCTTACCTACCTAATCATGCTCGGCTCAGGTTGACATTAAAACATGAAAACGAGCAACACCATGGCATTGTGAAAAGAGCACAGAGTCTGAGGTTGGTCCTGCCCCGCTAATGAGTCTCGCTGTCTGCCTACCTCAGTTTCCCTTCCTGTGAGATGAAGCTTTGCTAGTCCCCTGTAGCATGGTTTGGAAGATAAAATACCACGATGGATGCCAAAGCACCCATTGATTTTTGAAAACCCAAGGTCAAGGTGGGTCAAGAAAACTGTGCTATTGCCCTCTGACACTGGATTCCTGGGGATGGGAGGCTAAGAGAAAGCCCACTTGCAGGGAAACATGGAGCCTGGATGCAGATAATACTGCTGCAATGCTCCTTGGAGGAGGCTGTGACAACTATTTCAGCGTATCTGCTGGGCTGATGTGCTTTGTGTGTAGAGGAAGGTCGGCCAGAGAGGCCACTGAAGGAGGCAGAGTGGGGCAGTAGGATGGGGAGGGGGCAGGATGGCCTCAGGCCTTAGCCTAAGCAACTCCGTTTTAAAACTTCATCTTAAAATAAACCTGCAGTCTCACTAGGCAAGCCACAGAGCCCTCCAATATGTCTAACAGGCATAGCTTGATAAAAGCAAGTCACTTTCCACAATCCTTGTAAGAGTCAGGGTGAAGTCACCTGTCATTTGTTGTAACCCTGATAAAGAGTCAGAAGTGTGGTATCAGGGTGGAAAACACCAGACCATATGTCCTGACTCTAGGAGGCAGGATGTCACTAGGAAAGCTGTTAACAGCTGACAGGAACCCAAAGGGTGGGAGAAGCCCCCAAATTTAGTATAAATAATAGAGCAAGGGCTGGGGATGTGGCTCAAGCGGTAGCGCGCTCGCCTGGCATGCGTGCGACCCGGGTTCGATCCTCAGCACCACATACAAACAAAGATGTTGTGTCCGCCGAAAACTAAAAAATAAATATTAAAAATTCTCTCTCTCTCTCTCCTTCCCTCTCTCACTCTATCTTTAAAAAAAAAATAATAGAGCAAAAGGACATTCAGCCAGCCGACACTGATGCACATCAGCCTAGAGCCTGATGAGGGCCTGGACTGACATCACAACTCTTCTCATCTGCCTGATCCTCTGCGTTGTCCTCACCACTCTCAAACTCTACAGCAGCCTCTTGACTCTGGTGGGGAAAGTCGTTATGACCGTCTCCTCAGCCAGCCGTCAACTCCACCTCAGGAGAAGCCTCTATCGGTTCCTGACCTGGCCGCTGAGGTCTGAGTGAGTATGCATCTGATGGACTTGAGACCTAAGACTTAAGACTTTAAATCTAGCACTTAAGCTAAGTATGCAGAGGGAATGTCTATAATAGGTCTGTCTTGATTAAGTGTGTTTGCAGTGCTTAGAGTTAACTTAGAATTGTTTGCTTTGAATTGATTATGTCTATTGCAATGCCCCTAGCATTCAGGATTGTCATTCCTTGATTAAGAACATATAGAATGAAATTGTATTAAGTGATTTGAGTAATAAAACATTGAAAAGGGCAGAAACACGTGGACATTCTTTATCTCTCCCTTGCAGATGTTGCACTTTTGTCCATCGAGATAGGAGGATGTGGAGAGTCTCATATTTTATCCAATTGCAAGCTGACAAGTTAGCCTCCCATAGTTTCATGGATGCTGGTGGAAGACATGAGACTCTTGGGTCAGAGACAAAGGACTTCATTACATTCAGCAATAGCAGTAGCCAGAGGGTCAGCACTAGCATGATTTCCGAAACCCCAATTCCTACAGGGTGACTGGAGATGGTCAGCTGACACCTGCAAATCCAGTGTGTTATGCTACTGAAGAATAATTCTGAGCTCTGGAAGCCTGAAGCATTTATATAGGCAAGAAAGCTGGCTTACATTTTGCCCTAGAAGGAAACATTGTCTTTTTATATTGGACACTAAACTAAATTTCTCTTTGCTTTGAAGAGACGCAATCTCTATTTCCCAAGGCTGATTGCTATACAAATATCCTTGAAAAGTTTGTTCCAAACAGTCAATTAATAGCACAATATGCAGAAACACAAGAGGCCTATGGAAAAATTTCTCCCAAGAGAGGACTCTATCTTGAAGTAGAGCAGAAAGTCTTCTCAACTGAGATCTACTTGTGATTTCAGTGGGGAGCCACAGACACATTGGGGTCCCAGCAGCTCCCAGCAGGCACCCACTCATTCCACAGCATTTTTTTTCTTTATACTGCAACCAGGCAAGATCTCTGAAAAGCATACGTCTCCCCCTGAGCTGAAAATGTTTTCACTCTTCTTTCTTTTAGACTAAGGTCTTCACTACTTAACACAGCCTAGAACGAAGTGGTACTGGGGACTACTGATCAGTATCACCTGGAAGCTGTTTAGGAAATGCAAATTCTTAGGCTGCACACCAGAGCTGTTAGAAATCTGCAGTGAGAATTCAGACACATGCTTGGAATTGTGTAGGCAAGGCAAGCTTCACTTCTGCTAGAGGGCATATTCCCCTCTGGCTAGCAAGTGCACCTGAGCAGGCAGTGCTCCTAGTTTTATCCCTAAGGCTGCGATGTTCCTTGCCCTGACAGGAGGAGCTCAGGGTTATCATCTACAAGATTGGCTAATTTTAAAACTGGGGTGGGCAAAGGGAAGTGTTATAGTTAAAATGGCTACAATTGGATCTTATGTCCCAATTAAGGCTAAGGAAATGGACCACCTAACTTTCTATTTCTCACAGCTAGAAAATCAGATATTCTGGAGTGGGGTCCAGCCATCCATATTTAACATGCCTTCTTGATGATTCTGATTCACACTCCAATTTGAGAACTACGGGACCAGAAGAGTCATGATCTGACTCTTGCAACTCCAGTCTCATCTCTCAACAATTCTCATTTTGCCAGATCTTCTCAATTTGCCAGATCTTTGAAAACACAACGTTCTCTTTCACTGTAGTCTTTACCACCTGTGTTCTTCCCTTTGCCAAGAACACCATTCTGTCCCCTGGAATTCTCATAGATGAGTCCTACCTGTTCTTCAGTTCTCCAGTTAGTAGTCATCTTCTCCAGGAAGTTCCTCTGACCTCCTCCAAGTCTGGGCAAGTCTCCTTATTTACTGCTTAAGCTCCTTCTCTCTCCCCCATCGCAACATTCACCCCACTTTATCCTGAGGACCTAATCACCTGACCAAACACCCCACCTTCTAACACCATGGCCTTGTGGGTTAGGATTTCATCCATGCAAATTTGGAATTGAGGCAAACATTCTGACCTTAGCATTCTATTCCTGGCTCCCCCTACCCCAAATTCTTGTCCTTCTCACATGCAAATATATCCATTCCACCTCATTAACCCCCAAAGTCTTACCTTATTCTCATTTCAACTCTAAAGTCTGAAATCCAGGGTCTCATGTAAATATCATCTAAATCAGATATGGATGAGATGCAAGGTAGGATTCATCCTGAAGCAAGCTGCTCTCCAGCTGTGAACCTGTGAAATCAAACATGATGTGCTTCCAAAATTCAATAGTGGAACAGATATTCCTATTCCAAAAGGAAGAATAGGGAAGAAGAAAGGAGTTATAGGCCCCAAGTAAGTTTGAAGCTTAGCAGAGCAAACATTAAATCTTAAGACCTGTTTTTACTTTGAGTTGATGTTAATCTTCCAGACATACTAGGCCAGGGCCTGGGCCCCCAAGGTTCTGGGTAGTCCTAACCTCATGACTTTCCTGGGGCAGAGCTTTGCTCTGTAGCTCTCCTGGGGTGGAGTCTGGTGCCAGGAGCTCTCCCAGCCTGGCATGGCCTGCTGGGGCTCTGCCCACAGCTCCGCTAGGCTTTGCTTTGGCGAGAACTCTCTAGGTGCAGGTAGCCACATGACTTATGTGCTCTGTGCACTGGCAGAGGTGGCACTGCATGGATGACACCACAGTTTACTGTTTGTGCCCTCCTGGGGGCAACTATCAAGGCCACACCACTCCTGGAACTGCTGGAGCCAAACCTGGGGTAGCTGAGGCCGGCTGTGCCAGAATGTGGGAGCAGAGCCTTGAGTGGTTCTAGGCAGCAAACCCCAGGCCCCACAAGTGTCTATAGCTTTTTTTTTGAAGTCATTCTGTTCCCAGGCCTGGCACTCTGGATCTGAGATAGAAGGGGCACTTCCAATAATCTCCAACATGTCTTCAGGGTCATTCTTCTATTATCTTGATGAATAACACCTGGATAATACATGCCTAATCTCCTTATCAAATGGTCACTTGGCCTTTTGACCAAACTTTGGTGTTTTCTCTCTGACACACGTTCTCAAATTTTACAACATGAATAGGCTAAGGATTTTCTAAATCTTTAAATCCTACTTCCCTGTTTATTAAAAATTCTATCTTTAAATCATTTCTCTCTTCAAACATTTTACTGCAAGCATTGAAGAGAAGCCAAGTCATGCCTTCGATCTTTTGCTTAGAAATTTCTTCAGCCAAATAGCATTTCCAGAAAACACTAGAACATGAACAAAATTCAGCCAAGGTTTTTGGCCACTCTGTAATAAAAATTGTCCTTCTTCTAATTTCTGATACTATATCCCTTATTTCTAAGACCTTATAAGAATGGCCTTTACCCTCCATATTTCTTTGAACATTCTATTCATGAACACTTACATATTCTTTAAGAAAACTGAAATTTTCTTTATGGTTCTTCTCTTCTTCTGAGCCTTCCTTTCTCCTGCCTTTTTAAGAACAGGTCCATGGCAGAGTAGGCTTTTGCTAGCATGCACCTCAAAACCTTTCCAGCCTCTACCCATTACCCACTTCCAAAGCCACTTCCCCAGTTTTTAGGTGTTCATTACAGGAGCACCTGCACTTCTAGGTAACAATTTTTATTTTGTCCATTGGGACTGCTATGCCAAGATACCACCGACTGGGGAGCTTATAAATCATGGAAATGTACTTCTCACAGTTCTAGAGATGTAAATCCAAGAGCAAGGGGCGGGCAAATTCAGTGTCTGCTGGGGCCTGCTTCCTGGTCCATACAGCCGTCTTCCCACAGTGTCCTCACACGATGGAAAGCGGGAAGGCAAACCTTGGGGCCTGTTTTATTCAGCTTTTTGCTGCTGTGACTAAAAGACCTGACCAGAACAACTGTAGAGGAGGAAAAATTTATTTAGGGACTCACAGTTTCAGAGGTCTCAGTCCATGGGCTCCATTCCTTGGTGCTCGGGTGAGGCTGAACATCATGGCAGAATGTGCGGCGTAGGGAAGCAGCTCACAGGATGATCAGGAAGCAGAGAGAGAATTTCCACTGTCCAGATAACACAATATATACCCCATAACCACGTCTCCCATTCTCTACTCCTTCCAGCCACAGCCCACCTGCCTCCAGTTACCACTCAGTTAATCCTTCAGGGATCAATCCACTGATCAGGTTAGGGCTATAACCCAAATCATTTCTCCTCCAAACCTTCTTGCATGGTCTCACACGTGAGCTTGTGTGGGACACCTCACATTCTAACCATAATAGGGCCTCTTTTATAGGGTACTAATTCCATTCATGAGGGCTCCTAAAACTCCCACCTCCTAATGTTATCACTTGAGGGTCAGGATTTTAATATGTGAATACTGTGGGGACACAAAATCAGATGAAATCATCAATGAACTGAAGTCATTTGTCAAACGTTTGTCTTCACCTGGAATCTCTGGGAGAGCAGGGACCATGTGTGGCTCGTCCCTCCTTTATCCCCAGTATGGAGTAGGCCATCAGGTGTGACTTGTTGAAAAAAATCACGTACTATTTCCCTTTAATTCCAGGCCAGTTAGGACAAGGGACACGAACATGCCATATCTCAAGTGGTCAGGGCCAGCCAGGAACTCAGAACCTTCTGCTGAGAGGTGTGACTTCCTGAGAGCAACGCTATGAACCTTGAAGGATCTCAACCCATGCTTCCTATTGTAACCCAAGAGATTATCTTGGGGAGGTCCCCAAGATTCCATGTTGTTTTGGGGACACAATTTCTACACTGCAGAGGAAGAAGTAAGCTTTTCCTTGATTCTAGGAGAGGACAAGGACATGCGAAGGAAGGGATGAGTAGCTTTTGCTAAGCTGTTGGTGTGGCCCTAGTACTTGACAGGCTCAATCTCATCAAAGTATTACTTATCAACCTTGTGTGATAATTAATACTTTCCTAGCTTATAAATAAGTAGAACAGAAACTCAGAAAGGTTAAGATGGACTTCAAGGTCACAGAGCTTCTAAATGGCAAAACCAAGGTTCTAGATAGCATTGATCAACATGGTG